GTCAGGAGGCACACTGAGCAAATCAGGGACACCAATGCACAGAGACAAGGCGAGAGGACAGCAGACAGTGACAAGAACCACTCTGACCCCAGGAGTCAGACACACAGGCCTTCCCGCCGGCCTGCTTCCCTCTGGGAGGACATCGGGACCCCTGCCAGGACTGGCAGCAGCCCAGGCACTGGTGTGTGTTAGACCAAACACACAGGGACGGAGGGCCGGCACTTCTACACCTAGCCGTGGGCCCTGGGCTCTCTTCTCAGTCCAGACAAGAAGGAGGAATGGGGTGCGTGCCACGCCTCCCCTCCCCCACCATGGCTCACTGCTCCCACTGGGTAGCTCCAGAAGACCCCCAGGGGTCTGAGTGCCAGCACAGGGGTCACACAACCCCACCCAACAAGAAAAAAAGACAAGCAGCCTTCACCCAGAAGAGCTCTGCCACTCTTAACCAATGTATCGTTGAGCTGAGCTCTACTTACCTAGCACTGGACATTCAAACAGAAAAGGACAAGGAAAAGGAGGGCACCTAATCAATCGGGATGGAAAGCAAATCTCCAGCTGTTTCTCTTGCTCTCACTTACAACGGATCCACAGACGACATGATCGCTTCACCTTACAGAGCGCACCTGTGCGCTGCAGTGGCTTCCCCCCCCCCCCCCAGAGCAGGAAGAAGCTCCCAGGAGGAAGGAGCAGATCCGAGAAGGAGCGGCCCACGGGGACCCGCCCTGAGGAAGCTGCGGGCCTCGCGGTGAGGGGTGCTGCGGCCTGCATGGGGTCAGCACCGCAGAGCCCACTGCGGCCTCGGTCCAGTCGCTGACCGCTCTCCTCTCCCTCTAGTCTAGTGGAGTCTTGGGAGTTCACTCCCACTGTGCCGTTGAGCTGCTAGGAAAACCACCTCTGACAACTCTATTTCTCTTCCCTTTTCCTGTGTGTCCCACACAGCATCTCAATGCACAGCCCAACTGCACCACAGAAAAGCTACAAGGTGTGTGAGTGTGTCTCATGTTTACAACATGCTATGCCAGGACCAATCCTTTTCTAAGTGATGGATTTTAGCAGCCACCCGAAGGACAACGGTGGGGAAATCACAGCACACCTCAAGCCTCCGCACACTGGTGCGCTGCCTTCCCATGCATCTTAGCACACCATTGCTTCCTTGTTGATTTTGGTGGTGGTACTGGGGCTTGAACTCAGGACCTGGGTGCTGACGCGGGTCTTCACTGAGGGCTGATGTTCCACTTCTTGAGCCACAGATTCACTTCCAACTTTTTTGTTGTTTAACTGGCTTGGCTTTGAACCATGCTCCTCAGATCTCAGTCTCCTAAGTAACTAAGATTGCAAGCATGAGCAGACACCTTGACACATGTCCTTTAGGGTGAATACAATCACACGCAAGCCACTACAAACTTCTGAGTTGACCAAGATGGTTGAAAACGTCACTTGAAAACCTAGTGAGAAAATGACTAACACACTGACGAACAAACTCAGGGGTGGATGGAAAACTGGTTTTAGAAGTGAAGGGAAAAGGCCCAACCTCACAGTGGCACACAGAGCCTTGCAGCAGCATTTCACTGATTACCCCATAAGCCACCATCTAAGAAGAGAAAGAAAGCTGAACAATTATCCCAACAAAGAGACCAGAATGTCCTTCCTTGACACCCCACTGACAAGTTCCAGCAAGAAAGACCTTAGGTACTGCTCTGCAGAATCACTCCATTCCATAACACAGGCACGCCACAGTCCGGAGACACAGAGGACCCAGCTTTATTCCTGCGCGGTCACACCCGAGAAAGATCACAAAACGGGCAGGCTTCCATCCTGAGGGTGAAGCTCTGAGCCCCACACATCCCACCTCTTCTGAGTAGTTTCTAGCTGGCTTTCTTGCTCAAAAGAATGCCACCTAAGCCACAGAGAGGAAAATTATCCAAGAAGTAAACGCCTTAGCACATGATGCATTGCTAGGCTCGTGTATGGTACGTGACACACGCCATGACAGAATCACACATGTTGGGCATCATGCACGGTACATGGAACATACCACAGAATCACACGTGGTGGGCATCACATGTATGGTTCATGACACGCATCCTGACAGTCACATGTGTAGCACCCACCATCATGGCCTCATCTGCTGACAGCCTTTCAGATGTCTCTTTGCACATGGTCACCCCTGACAACATGACAATGCAGTAGCTGCACATTCAGTCAGCCCCCATAGGAAGTTAAGACCTTCAGATCAGCAGAGGACACCAACTAGGAGACACACAGCAAACACACCAGGTGACCAGAGGAAGATGCACAAAGTACTGGCATACCCATATGATAGTACAAAAACATTCATTCTGCCAGGGCTGAGCACGTAAGCATGCAGACACACGACTCACAAGTCAGCTACATCCACAGGGCAGTGCTGAGCAGGAAGCAGTTGAGAAGCAAGGCCTCCGAGTTTAGCTTCCGGTGGATGACATGCGCATAATGCAACGCCTGCAGTCCCTGGCACCGAGCCCCCCCCACAAAAGCCCCAACATTCTCTTCACCTCCAGAACGTTCACCAGGAAGCTGAGCCTGCTCTGGCTGAAGCAATCACAGGCTTCTCAGACTGTCACGCAAGGAGCGAGGACAGACCGGTCCCAGGGAGAGGGCATGGCTCTGCCAGGAGCGGGGTGCCGGGCCAGGCAGAGAAGGGCAGGGAAGGAGGAGAGCATGCCAGGGGCTGCCGCACACGGCCTTTTAGCTTGCTGTGCGTAGACCAAGTGAGAGGCCCCAAAGCTAACGTCACCGGGCTGGGCAACTTTCAGACCCATTGGGGCACTGGGTCTGCAACTGGTTTCTCTAGGATGTTAAAAGTGACCTGTAGGCAAGTATGTTCTAATACTGGGAAGTGAAGCACACTTCCCCCAAGAAACTCAGTTCAAAGTGAGCCTAAAACACCCAGGTTTGCTGACTCACGCCTAACCGCGTGCTGACGTGTACCTTAGAAGAAGAAACAACAATCCGGGAGGAGCGCAGTCCCTGGGAGACCACCCACTCCCTGCCTGCAAAGAACTTCATTTAAAAGCCCTTAACACCATCTATTTTTTAAAAATCTTTGTAAGGAAAAGGGAAACATCTCAGACTACTTGATCTTCCAAATCTGTCACTAGAATTCTCAAACCCCACAGCTCACATCTACATTCTTAGGAAAAAGGAATCAATTCAAGAGCCACTGCCTGGACCCACAGGGTGGTGAGCAGCCTCTCCACCGGGTCTCTTGGGCTCACCAAGTGCTCGCCATGACTGGGAGCAGAAGTGCACAGCCCAGGGAATCTGAGAAGCAAGGTAACAGTCTGCCCATCACCCAGACATTAAAATGTGCCCCCATGGCTCAACCTGCAGATTACCCCACCCCCCGAGGCCCATAGACAGCTCAACCCCAGCTTACCCCACCCACTGAGGCCCACAGACAGCTCAACCCACAGATTACTGGACCCAGGCAAGCAGGATAGCTCACAACCCAAGGGTGCCGGTTGGGGTGGAGCTGCGTGGGGGCACGCTCACCTTCCACCTGCTCCTAGCGCACAGAGCACAGCCTGTACCATCACCAGCCGGCCCTCGCAGCCAGGACACAGCAGGGCCTCCTGCAGGGCCTCCTGGGCCCACAGAGGCCGAGAGCAGCAGGCCCCGGGACAGAGCACACACGGCTCTCCCGCTGCAGGTCAGCTCCCCCGTCCACCCACACCGCCATCATGCAACGCACCTGTCACCCAGCAGGCACCACGACCCCACACAGGAGGGACTCCATGGCTGAGTCCACACATCCGCCAGGCCCGGCACCCCACCCCTTGGCATGGCCCCCCCTTGACGGGGCCCCTCTGCTCACCGGTTCCCCAGCCCCGCACCATGTTCCCTAACAGTACTGCCATCTTCCCACAATCTCCGGACTCAGAGACCATTTTGAGAGGTCCCCTATTTCAAGAACCTGTGGATTTGTTTTAAGGGTGAGGGCCAGGAACAGGGAAACCCCCTCCCAAGGCGGGGAGGGGGAAATCTATTGATTTCGTTTGGTTTTTGGTTTTGTGAGGCACGGTTTCATTATATAGTCCAGGCTGGCCTCCAACTGGCGATCCTCCTGCCTCAGCCTCCTGAGTGCTGTTTGTTTGGGTTTTTGACAGGACCTTAACTTCCTAGCGTTCTGCATGTTAAATGAGAATGGCCTGTGAATTCTGTCTGAGAACCAGTGTTGCATCGAAGACACGTAAATCATGGGCAGGAGCAAAACCAGAAAGCCCTCATTAGTGTCCGACCAAGATCCCAGATGCTCCAAAACTTAGAAAAAGCTCTGGGCACTCATATGACACCCAGTGACAAACCCACACCTGATGCCAGTGTGTCTGCACACTTCAAACGGCCGCATGGAACTACAGCCAGGCTTCAGATCTAAGGTGTATGTGAATTCTAAGCAAATTCTGTCTTTAGACTTAGGTCCCGTCCCCACTGTACTGTGAAAACCTTCAAGGACCCAAAACGCTCCTTCTCCAAGCTCAGCAGCATGGCTAGCCACTAGCGATGCCCGTGGGACAACGGCAAAGCCACGGCAAGGGTTACTTGGTTGAGAACTCTGGCGCAGCTCAAACCCCCAGCTTCTGCAATGTAGGGCTTGGGCAAGTCTCTGCTTACCAATCCTGTGTACTGTGTAGTAAGTTCTCCATTGCTTACATATAAAACTGAATACTCGGTTCAAACACACACTCTTAAAAGACAAGTACAATGAGCATCTACCAAGGCTTTGTTAAAATGTTTTCTACAAGAAGGGAGCAGAAAGGACAGTCAGAAGTCGCTGCCCAGGAAGTACAAGAGCCCAGCTCCGGGACTGGGAAGAGCTGTTCGATCCATGGCACAGCAGGACAAGAGGTGACAGTTCTATCAGAACAAAGGACCGGCCAGGACCGCCCTGGGGCCGCCGGCCGGCAGGAGGGTACCCGCGAGCTCCCTGGCGCGCAGGACCCACCCCCCACCCGACTTACCTCTGTGCTCCGGCCCGGGGCTGCTGACCCCCCAGCCCTGGTAGAGCGTAGTGAAGTCCTTTGGAATGTACGTCTTAAAGATGCTGAGGATGTCCAGGCGTTTCTCCTGGCCCTCAGCCGCGGGCTCCTGCTTGGCGGAGTGTATGACGGAGGGCGTCCCGGGCTGGGCCTGCGCCGCGGGGTCCCCTCTGGTGGCTGTGGCGCATGTGGTCGACGTCCTCAGCTCCGGGGACGGGGGCTCGCGGGGAAGTGGGGACGGCCCCCCTTCGCTCTTCACAGGAGGCGCACCCTGAGGCTGCGGGCTGAATCTGGCTTTCAGAGAGTTCGGGCCACTGTGCTTGTGTGGGGGACCGGTGCTGGCCGTTGCCGGAGACACCCCAAACTTCTCTGTGGGCTTGCTGTTGGCCGCGGGCTGGGCCGCCACCCGGGTGATGACGGAGGGCGTAGGGGTGGCGCTCCTGCTGAGGCCCCCGGCGCCTGCGGGCGGGCCGGGCTTGGCGCCGGCCTCCAGTTTGGCCTTCCCCAGAGGTCCCTGCCCGCCGGCGGTGGCGGCGCTGGGTGTCTCCTGGCCGTGGCCAGGTCTGGTCTGTCGATACCCGTCGGGCCCAGATGGGCCCCCGGGACGGCCCTCCCGGCTCTCAGGCAGGCTCGTGGCTTTCGTGGCCCCCCCGAGAGGCGGGGAGCCACCCTTGGGTCCCAGGGCCCCGCCAGGCGCCTGTGTGCGGGTGAAGCGGGCGAGCAGCAGGGGCTGGCACTCCTTGCCGCCAAGGGCGGGCGGGGGGCCCGTGCGCCCGCTGCGTGCCAGGAACGCCAGGCCGCTGCGGATGCTCCGGTAGCCGTTCGGTTGCGCCCAGGGTGGCACGGCGCCGCCGCCGACACGGTGCCAGATTCGCTTGTGCATCCACAGCACCTCGGGGTAGTAGGTCTTGTGGGCGCAGTAAGGACACGGGTGGACCACCAGCGCGGCCTGCGGGGAGGGCCCCGCCTCCCGGGGGTCGTCCCCGCCCGACCTCGTGCTTAAATCCAGGGGGGCCCCGTCTGGGGCAGGTGCCCTTCTTTCTCCCTCCGACAGCTCCTTGCCGGACGGGTCAGGCAGCTTCTCCTTCGGGCTTGCCGCATTGGGCTGTGGGCCAGTTCCCCGGGCACCGGGAGGGACGTCGGCCCCGCGGCCCACACCCGGCGTTTCCGGTGGGGAGTGGAAGGCCGGCATCTTGAGGTCGAGGGCGAGCCTGTGTTGGTCCAGACGCTTGGACGGGGCTCGGCTGCCGTTCTCAAACGTGGATGCCACCGAGGCCGCTGTCACGGGCCTGGACTCCCGGCCGCCTCGGTCCTGCGTGTGACTGCCGAGTCCGTGGCTCTCCTCGCCGCCGGAGAGTGCAGCCGACACCACCTCCGTGGAGAAGCAGCAGCGCCGCGACCGTACCCCTGGAGGATGCAAATGCAGAAGGGAGGTTACCATCGCTCATCAGAACACAGCGAGACAAGGGCGGTGGCGGCCAGACGCCCGAGACATGCGCCCGCCCGCACGGGCTGCTTCGGGGCTGGGCCCTCTCCCTTCTCACTGCAGGGAGGCCGTGCTACACTGGGCAGACGGACGGGCAGAAATACATACACCAGCGGCATGTCCCGTTCCCTAAACCACAGCGGGGCTGCTGGTGAGCATAGGTGGCAGGGTGTCCTGGAGATGAGCAAAGCAGACTAGCTGCGCACGGTGCGCACACGCCCTGCACCTGAGACCAGGCTACGGGGGCTCTGATCACCCAGGTCAGGACAGACACGGCGGGAGGACCAGCAGCTGCTTCAGAAACTGAGCCACCATGTGACTTCATCATGAGAATCCTCATCACCAAGACCCATGTTTTAAATCCAAAACCTTGGCCCCAGTCCCTCCAGAGGCCTGTGCGTGAAGTGCTTGGTGACGGTCCAGCACCACGGCGCGGGGGGGGGGGGGGGGGTTCTCCACGGCCCAGGCGGCAGCGCTGCCGGTGGATGCAGCCCAGCCTCCCAGAAAGCCCAGGTCTGCGAGGACCGAGCCCCAGCTCAGGACCCACACCGGAGACAGCCGGGCCTCTCCTCTGCCCAGCTGCTGCGGCAGCCTGGGGTCCCAGGTGCCACTCAGGGCATGAAAATGCCAGACCCTCCCTCCCACAGGCTTTTAGATGTTCACATTCAATGCAAGTAGGTTATGTGCTTATCCGGAGCATTCTTTACAATCTAAGAATATATTTCCCAAGACAAGACTTGGGAATCCAACGGAAGTCTTGGCCATAGTAAGAGACTCTCAGCTGCTGAGCCGGCAGGGGGGGGGGGCATGGGGCAGGTTGGCAAACGCAAGCTGCAACGGGGCAGCCACAGGTAATAAGCCACCCTCAGGTGAGCACGGTGGTGCCGTTGGCAGTGCTGGAAGGGGGTGGTTGGGGAGGACTGAGGCCTCCGTCACGTGCTCCAGAGCAGAGCTGGAGGGCTGGGCGGGGGTGGGGAGGGGGGGTCACTGGCACTGCTGAGACAGAGCACGGTACAGGCGGCTCTGGCGCAGACGCGGATGACTAGGAGAAAGGGAGCTCCCTGTCACAGCAAGCCTCATGGCGGGCGGAGGGAGGGGGCTGCTTTTTAATGCATTTATAGCAGGCAGAAGACCAACAGCCCAGCTCCTGATTGAGAACCTGAGGTGTGTGCCCAGAACCTCACTATATGCATTCTGACCCCAGTGGTCTAGGCCTTCAGCTCCAGGGAAACACTGTCCTAGAACGTCTGGCACCAGCGATCAGCAGCATCGACAGCCACACTAGGACCTCCAGCAGCAGAGAACATCGTCTTAGGACCTCCAACACCGTAGAACACCATCCCACACTAGGACCTCCAACACTGTAGAACACCATCCCACACTAGGACCTCCAACACCGTAGAACACCATCCCAGGACTTCTAGCATGAGTAGAACATTGTCCTAGAACCTCCAGCACCACAGATCATCATCCTAGGGCCTCCAGCACTGTAGATCATCATCTGAGGACCTCTAGAACCATAGAACATCATCATAGACCCTCCAGTACCAGAGAACATGGTCCATGGACATCCAGTTCCATAGAACATCTTCTAGAACCTCTAATACCAGAGAATGTCTAGCACCATAGAACACCATCCTAGGACCTCCAGCACCATAGACCATAATCCTCGGTCCTCCAGCACCAGAGAACATCATTCTAGAACCTCTAATACCAGAGAACACTGTCCTAGGACTTCCAGCACCAGAGAAGATCATCGTAGATCTCTAGCACTGTAGAACATCACCTGAGAACTTCCAGCACTGGATAACATCACCTGAGAACTTGCAGCACTGTAGAACATCGCCTGAGAACTTCCAGCACTGGGTAACATCGCCTGAGAACTTGCAGCACTGGATAACATCGCCTGAGAACTTGCAGCACTGGATAACATCACCTGAGAACTTGCAGCACTGTGTAACATCGCCTGAGAACTTCCAGCACTGTGTAACATCGCCTGAGAACTTGCAGCACTGGGTAACATCGCCTGAGAACTTGCAGCACTGGGTAACATCACCTGAGAACTTGCAGCACTGGATAACATCGCCTGAGAACTTCCAGCACTGGATAACATCGCCTGAGAACTTGCAGCACTGTAGAACATCCCCTGAGAACTTCCAGCACTGTAGAACATCACCTGAGAACTTGCAGCACTGTGTAACATCACCTGAGAACTTGCAGCACTGTGTAACATCACCTGAGAATTTGCAGCACTGGATAACATCGCCTGAGAACTTGCAGCACTGGATAACATCGCCTGAGAACTTCCAGCACTGTGTAACATTGTCCTAGGACCTCTAGCACTATAGATCATCATCACAGAACCTCCAGAACCGGAGAACATCATCCTAGGACTCTCTGAGCACCACAGAACATAATTGTAGGACTTCCCACACCTTAAGCCAAGATATGAAGTGATACAGTCAAGGCAAACAACCCTGAGCTGCCAAAGTAGCTCACAGGAACTCACTGGTAGGCACATGCCAACCACTGCCCCACGCGGACCCAGGAAGGGCAGAGGACTCTCTGCAGGGCGGGCAGGCCCTGGCACCGGCGTCCGAGATAGCCTCTCCAGTACCTCCCATCCCGGACAGGGCCTCGGGGAGGCAGCAGAGCAGCTGACTCGCTGCTCCCAGAGGAGACGCTTCCCCTGAGGAAGCCCAGGTGAGCAAATCCTGCGGGAGCACTTGCCGGGAGCACGGCATGCCTCCTGGCTCTCCTCCCATCGCCGAAGCCAACACCGGGCCACACCTAGAGCTGTCATGTCCCTTTTATCCCAACCAGGTCAAAGCAAATGCAAGACCCGGGCCTCGTTCCCAAGTTGTCCCATTCCTTACCTACCCTTGTTCTGGGGAAAATGGCCATCGCTCACTACTGGGCATGCCAGGTGACCTCCCAAAACACTAGGTCCCCCCCGTGCCCCCGAGCCTCCGCCAGCACGGCGTGGCTCACGTCCCCAGGGATCCCCGCTCCCAGGTAGGGTTCTGTGCAGGACCTGCACCCGAGAGAGGCTTTCCAGGCTTCAGAGCCCGGAGCGGGTCCCACCCACCCTGCGGCGGTCGGGACAGGCCCTGGACCCTCTGCACACAGGAAGCGTGTCCCTGCCGAGCGTGCTCCAAGCAACAGGGCTCCCAGCCAGGAGCAGCTGGGAGAGCAAGCCGAAGAGGACGGGGGTCACCTGCAGCCCATGCACTCCTGCTGGACAGCAGGGCCAGGCCACCTGGGCCCCGAAGATAATGCAGGACTGTGCCCAGGCCGGCTCCTTCCGGAAGACCCTGAGGTCTGTCTGCTCCAGCCCAGCGGGCCCAGGCTGCAGCCACCCTGGCTGGACAAACATCCTCTCCCAGACAGGCAGAGGCCCGGGGCCACCTATGTGCCAGTGCGTGGGCCTCCCCCGCTGGCCTGCATGCTGACCGACCTGCATCCGCTTTACACAGCAGCCACTGAGCCGCTGCCTCTCATCTGCGCATGGAAGGTGCGGCCAACGAGGCTGCCCCGCGGCTGTCCCCACGTGTCCGTGAGCAGAGGATACAAGCGTGGATCCACGGACAGAAAGGGGGCCTCGGGGCACTAAGGAAATGCCGGCCGGTCCTGCCAGCCGCCGCAGGCCGCCTCTCGCCCTCTAGGGCTTAGGGCGCACTCACTTCTTCAGAGGCAGAGGCCTGGGCCTCTGAGGCCACATTGAGCCCCGAAAGTGGGGACCCCAGATGGACGGCAGTGAGAATCGAGCAGGAAGCACTGGCAGGCCTCAGCAATGCCCTGGGAAAACGGCACTCGGAGGTTAAGGCCAGAGGCCCACACCCCTCACCCCATTCTGATGAAGAAAAGTGGGACCTTGCTTTTCTTGGGATTCCAGAGCTGCCTCCTGAGCAGGGACTCCAGACACTGCTCCATCAGAACCGCCGCGCAGACGCCGTGGCCTGAGACCGCACACGGGCCAGGTGTGCATCTGACTCACACACAACGCAGCCACAATTATCGCTCTTCTAAGAGGAAAGGAAGCCAGGCACCGGCTGCTCATGCCTGTCATCCTAGCTGCTCAGAAGGCTGAAATCTGAGGATCGTGGTTGGAAGCCAACCGGGGCAGCAAAGTTCAAGAGACTCTTAAACCACCAGAAAACAGGAAGGGGAGAAGGGGAGCTGTGGCTCAAAGTGGTAGAGCACCAGCCTTGAGCAAAAGGGCTCAAAGACAGTGTCCAGGCCCTGGGTTCAAGCCCCATGACGGTGGGGGGGGGGGGATGAAGAAGGAAGAGCCTGCGATGGCAGGTCACTTCACCGCACGGGCAGCAGAATACACCAGTCATTTTATCATGCTATTTCCATGCTGTGCCGCGGCCACAAAGCCACTCTGATGTAATCTGCACTGCCCCCTCCCCCCCGGGAAGGACGAAGGGCACCGCGCCAGGGCAGAGCTCGCGCCAGCCCCGCCTCTCGACCCGATCGGCGCGCCAGCCCTGGCAGCACAGAGGTGGAGACCAGAGCCCCCCCGGGCCAGGCCCACCAGCCCGAGAGCGGGCTCCAGCCCCAGCAGGATCCGGTGCCCACACCGTCGGCTCCGGGACTCAGGAGCGACGGGCGGGAAGACAGGAGGCCAGTGACCGAGTCTCCCCAGGGCGCCTGCCAGACCTGACGCGGACACAGGGTGCGGGCGTGGGGCCTCCACGCTCACGGCCGTGGACAGACCACACGGAGGCTGGTGTGGAGTGCTGGGCCCCACAAACACCCCCCCCCGGGCTGGCCCAGCTCACGGACCACACAGGCCTTCACACAGCCCCACATGGACCAGTCCCACTCCTCCACTGACACAGATGGGGTCGATCTGAGTGCTCTGCAATTCTGGCTTCCCGCACACCGCTCACTCCACACCCAGCACCCAAGGCTG